CCCTACGACAGTGTTGTCTCAATCGGCCCAACTTTCGGCCCCCCTTCCGGCCCCCCCTTTTGGACATTTCTGGATCCGCCCCTGGTGATTATGATAAATCCTTATACATGGCAAAGACAAGCCAAACCAGTCACTCCTCCTAAAATATAGATTTTTAGTTATTAATTTATAAAATCCGACATTTTGTTGTGAAGTGTCAGGAGTTTAAACATACATCTGTTTAAAGTACAGTATTGAGAAAGCAGCCTTCTGATTTATGATTTTGGACATTCCTCAGGCAGAGACCATCACCAAATCATTAAAAAATGTTGTTTTAATATTACAAAATGGGGAAAATAACAACATAGCACGATGTGTAGATACAGTATATGAAGTTTAGTTTAGTGCAATAAAATAGATTTTGAAAATTTTGACATTCCAACATGTTTTGGTCATTATATATCTGTGAACATAATTTGCGAGGAGTGACTGGTTTGGGTTGACTTTGTTACATAGTGCAGCTGACATACTGTATTTGCTCAACATATAGTGTTATATAGTGTGAGTAAACACAAGTTTGAATAAGTGCAAGTTTGAATTAATGTCTGTTTGAATTAACGCCCTATTTAAATAAGCACCATATCATAGATCGCAATTTAATATTTACTGTAGTTAATTAAATTTCATTATATTAGATTTAACTTATGCAGAATTCATTGTGTTTATGTTTGAATACAGTTATTAGTTCAAATAAATAGTGATACTATGCACAGTTAATACTCCAACATTGGATAAGAGGAGGATCCTTTGAATATTATTGTATTTCAGGTAATTTTATCTGAATATTGGCTGGAAGCAGCAACAAGGCTCAGTGCACCATTGAGATTATTGGGTCCTTAATTCCATTATTATACTACTCTCATATATTTGAGTCTGTCACCCTGGTCCCCCAAGGTCCATAAGGTGGGTGTCTAGGGGCCAGTAAAGTAGCTATGCTCATGATTCCAAGTGGGGGTTGGGGACCATGCCCTAAAGCTATGGCCTTTTATGTATTTAGATGCCTAACTCAAATGTTGACAGACACATAATATTTCACCATAAAAAATGCCCTACCCTGTCAAAACTAGATTGCCAGTCGGATTGTGCTACCTGATTCATGGTTAATGTCGGAAGGTGTTAATTTGGATTGTCAGTCAAACTTCATAACTGACCAATCAGAACAGGGCCATACCGCATGTCTAACAAGCACATGTGTTGCATATTTCTATACATATGATCTGATACTTTGGTATATATATATATATATATATATATATATATATATATATATATATATATATATATATATATATATATA